CCGTTCTACTGTTTAGGAAAGGCCAGTGAGAAGATATCGCCAGCTACAGACCCATCAGCTTTCCTTCGGTGGTATATTCACGAAAATGCTGCTCAACCACATGGAACCATTTTGGACGAATACCAGCCAGTAAAGCAGACAGTTTTCATGCATGGATAACGTACACGCGGTCTATTGGGAGAAGCCATGAATATCACCCTCCATTAGTCCTTGTCTTCGCTGACTATAAAAAGGCATTCGATTCTGTGAAGGTCAACGCTGTTCCAAATGCCCTCATTCAAGCCGGAGCTCCCCCTGCCCAACTGCTCGAACAATGCTTTCGAAACTATTCAGTTGTTTGAGCGGAAGATAAAAATCCCTATTTAGGAAAGGAGTACAGCGAGAAGATAAGTATCACTAAAGATATTCACGGCTGCATTACAGAATCCGATGTCAAACCTTAATTGGGAAGACAAAGGATACATCAATAAGAAGTATGAATACCCTCCGCCTCGTGGGTGATACCGTATTGATATCTCACAACACAATCGAAATGGAAGAAATGTCAACGAACTCAATGTGGAAGGCTTGAAGATCGGCTTGGAAATGAGCATGTCGAAAACGCAAATGGTGAACCAGTGGTGTGATACAGGTACAATAAAACTAGCGGGAAAAGCTCTAGAGAGAGTAAACTCCTACGTGTACCTGGGAAGAGAGCTGAACATGACGAACAATATTGCTCCAAAAATAAACCAGAGGAGACGTACTGCATGGGCAGAATTGAATTTGATTGATTGCAGAAGTAACAGACTAAATGAAAGACCCTAAACTAAAACAAATGGCACAATCGAAACATCGTTGGGCTGGTCATTTACTTCGCCGAGACGATGACAGATGGAGCCTCCGAGTCACTGAATGGCTCCCAAGAAACAAAACAAGACCGCTAGGACGACCGCAAACCCGGTGGGCCGACTCGTTTTCAAAGTATTTCAGACAACGTGGTCTACACTGGATGCAAGTCGCCAGAAACGGGAAGCATGGAAGAGCTGTGGTCCCCGCTGACGAGGGGAGGTCGTTCAGGGCGTGGAACGCTTTCTCAAAATGGTTTTTCCTATGATATAGAGGGATGTGCCTGGAATACAGAACTGTGGTCCATTTCCGCTAAATGGCCCACTGAATGCCAAAAAAGGGTGGGAAAGTGGTCCTTGGTTCGATTCCCCGCGGTGACAAAATTTTTGCACTGTGATTTGACGCCACAAAATTGGCACCGAAGAACGCCAACACCAGCAATTGATGTCATAATTACAATTAGGCTTACAAAAACCCTTACAAGTGGGCTTTTACCAAAAACTGGTGAGAGAAAGTTGTGACGCAAAAACTTCACCAAGGTGCCGTCGAAGAACGTCATAGGGGCCCGAAATGATGTCGGAGCTGGAAACGAATATTGTATTCGTGATCAGGGCACCTGATAACCCTTCTAGTCGATGTTTCTAAGAAAATCAAGATTTTGGCCCGACTTCGAAAATTTGCTAGATGGATAAGTAAACTCTGTGGCACGTAGTAAAGCTCGACGGTGAACTTCTTGGAAATGACATCATCTAGATAGTCCTCAAAAAATGAGAGATGCTCCTGCCGAATAGACTATAGCAGACAAGCAAGCTGGTGTTGGTCGGAGGGTCACCCACAGTGCAGTAGTTTTCTGCCAGTTTTCCGTGCGGAGCTCGCCTCCGAGCGAGTGGGAATACTTGAAGATTTACTTATGTCAAGTTTTCGAAGTTAGGCCAAAGATGCCAAAGATGATTTTCTTCGAAACGTTGGCACCAGAGGTAAATTGGTGCTCTTGTCACGAATGTGGCATTGTTTTTTGGAGCCGCCGCTATCCGGCGAAATTCCAACGGTACAACTTTTTTTGCCTGCTTTCGGTGAAAACTTACCTAATCTGGGTTATCAATAGTTCTGGTCTTGAATAACACATCCATTTTGGCACCTGTGCTATTTGGAGAAAATCGTGAAGTGCCTACAAAAAATGCAAAAAGCCCGACGCCTCGGGGATCCGAACCACCAACCCAGACCAAGCGTGCCAATCGAAATCCACATCGCTAACCACTACACCACCGACGCTGCTGGAGGATGTTGGCCAAATGCTCTTATGGAACTTCCACACGCTCTTTAGTACACAGCATGACATCACCACGACAACTTTCCAATTTTGACCAAACTTCTCGATGTTTTCGAGACACACCTTACGAAGACCCTCCATTACGCAAGTAGTCCACGCCATGAATGAAACACACCACTTTTAACAAGTAAAAACTGCAGTTTCCAACAAAATGATTTCACTCCTTTTTTGGCATTCAGAAGGCCATTTAGCGGAAATGGACCATAGATCTGTGTTCACTGCACCTGCCCCTATTTCATGCAAAAAACCGTTTTCAAAAAGCGCTCCACGCCCTGAACGACCTCCCCTCGTGAGAACATCGCAGAAGGACTATCAAAGTATCAAAGTAAGTATATTATTTATCAGAATGATAATGCTTAACGTTAGTGCTCAAGTGTGAAATGATTGTGGATATGATGTCAACGTCGACTCCAAACAAACTTTATTCGTGACTAGCCTACAAAATTAAATGAACAGTCGAGGCAGTCACACTTCAATGAATCTAGCATTCGTAGATCAGCTTGCACGCCTCCTTGGGTTCCATGGTCTGAAAACACACTAATAATTTCAATGCCGAAAAAGTACAGGGTGTTCCGTAATTATTGCAACAAATTTCGCCCGTCGTTTTTGACTGCGATTACTGTTTTTTTTTGTCGATTGACATATAAGTGTGCTTCTTCATATTGCTCTGAATAAGTTTATCAAATTTGACGGCATCTCTTTATCTTTTCAACTCATGGTGTGTACGAACCCAAATATAATTGTTATTCTTGAGAGTTCTTGGTGTTACTGAAGTCACTTGCCAGTCTACTGAGGAATGGTGGATCTCTCGACAAGGCAGCGTTTCTGCACTAAGGACAAAAACTGTTCTGAACCGCTGTTGCCCCATTCTTCTCAAGTTCGCACCCTCAAACTAAGAGCTCGTCAGTCCCTTGATCTCAGTATGCTAGACGATCCTATTGGGGTATATTAGTGGAGAGAACCTATACTAAAAACTGCACTCTTGCGAAAGAGAACGGATGCGCCCTCTTTGAAGGTTCGAAAATGTATATTTCATGAGACCGTGCGGGCAGCAGCACATGCAAACTTCAGCCGTCCCAGAGTAGTTTAAGAGCGACAGAGAGCCATGTCCAATGAATGCCATTGCTTGTAGTATGTAAGTGTTTGAGCAAATACTCCTATAACCGATTGAACCTACGTCGACTTCTAGAGAGAAAACACGGCAAAAACCGCGTTGCAGTATTTACGGAACACCCTGTACGTCCTGAATGAAATCTCTAGTGCAATACACTGCACAACAACCGCTGCCGATGCATTTATACGTTTACCTTTCGATAAGACAAGCTGTTAGATAGCACCTTGCAGTGTATTCGAGCGACGTCATATTTTTTTAGCTCGAAGTAAAATTGCGGGAGGAGTGGAGGGGAGGGGGGCATCGCGGCGCAAAACACCAGTTCTTTCGAAACGACAGCAAACCTATCTATTTCCATATTCGTTAAATCCCCATGATTGGGCAAGCAAAATGGTTCAGTTATGGCAGGAGTTTATACGTCACGAAAATGGATCGCTGATGGCGCGATGAACTACTGCGCCACGACGATCTTCAGCTTCACCTGCACCACCTTCGCATCCTGAAATCCAATGCGGCAAAAAAATTGAGTGTCAGTACATAGAACGGGTCGCTCTGAATGGAATTTTCACGTCATAAATAAGCTTCCATTTACCCTTTCACTGTCTCCATCCTTTTTTAGGTCTCCAGAGATGGGAAGTACTTAGTATTGCGGAGGTCTATAAATATGGCGATATTCTCGCGTGAAAAGCCTACCTTCAACTCGTCGAAATGAGCCATTAAGTTTTTGCAGGGTTCTACAGCGCAAGGATGCTCGTTCTTCTCACACATTGTTTTTGTCTGGAATATCTCTTGTGGTCGATACGGTCGTGAAAACCTGTTTATTCTCTTCTTCACCTTCTGGGAATTAACGAATAAGCTTATGGCCAAACGTCTGGCTCACTCGCATGCATTGTTCCGAGATTCACATGGCATCATTTCAAATACTGACGTCCGCGTCTACGGAAGGGACTAGTGGGCTGGGGGTTAAAATCTCGTATTTGTCTATGAATTGAGCACAAGAGTATTTTGAATCTCTTGGTGCAGAGAACAGAATAACACATTTCATAACGAAAATTGCTTGGGAGTGCGCGGAGTGGACACTGGCGTGGTCAAACCACCTCTAAGTTGCGAAAAGTCTCATTGTGAAGGATCCTCACGCATTAAAACAAACCAGGGTTGAGAATAGAAACAGGAACATGGCACGCTACTGACAACTGATCAGTCACAAATGCAAAAAAGGAACACTTGAGCAGATCTGAACCACCTACAATGCCGCCACTAACTTTCGATAATTTCTCCGTGAGCGACGAATGTGGTAGGCGTCGCGAAAGGCGTTCCGCCACTCATAACTCCCCCGCAAAAGCTCAGCGGGAGCTGAATGAAGCTTCATACCCACGCAACTGGTGAATTACGTCTCTCCATGTGTCGAGCCTCTCTAACATATGGTACAAAACTACTGGTACTCGCCACCAAGAAATTGATGATTCTCAAAACGCTGTGTGGTAGAAAAAAGCATATAAATCAGCTGCGCGTCGAGTTCTGGCTTTTAGAGCTTTTGGAGCTTGCTTTAGAATGCGCCATGCACAATGTGGCATACAGAAGAAAAAATTGTAGGACATTTGAAAAGATGAATACAGATATAATAACACGCTTATAGCATCATTGTCTTATCTTCATGAGAGCTGTGTTCTCAGTAGTTCCGAATGCGCGCCATATTCAACATTGCGTCCATATGGATTGTGGTATGGATCTCCATGTCTTTTTTCAAAGATTTCATAGGTTCCATATTCACATCGTCGGCGGCGATTTTGTAAATGATCTCAACAAGATAGGCCACATTAAATGTACTAATGACTGACTCGAGCTTCAGTATTCCTCTCTCGTGTTCAAATGGAAATCATAGATCATTTTTCAGCAGGACAGTTAGCCTATTTGGTGAAATTTTCCAATGTTTGAACGAAGGTTTTTCCGAAATCTGAGGAGGTAGCGGGGAAATTTCTTCACAGTTGTAGAGTACGCTTACTTGTGGTGTGTTAGGAAGTAAAATCAATGCATTTGACGGTGATATGCTTGCTTGTAGACGAGTGTGTTGCACTCCCTGTTCTGTGCTGCCTCTAATTTTGGTGTGAAAATGCTACTCCTCGTCATTGCCCTTATGACCGACGTGAGAGACCAAAATGTTCAGAGTTTTTATTTCAATATGCACTTCCACGGGTGAAATTCTGCAGAACTAAGCTCAAATGTGCGTCCTGTTTCCTTAGTATTCGGTGAAAAATTGTCTATCAGAATGGATAATGCATTACTCCGTCAGCTAACAACTAGTTGGTTTTCACCATTTTCAGCTGTTCCTCATCTCCCTCTTGAGGCATCGTTATTTTCACTATAATTGGCCAAAATCTTTCAACAGTATTCATT